TCATAGCTGGTGCTTGCCAAACATCCTTATAGTAAACTAAATAATGTAGGTAAGATTTCCCTTAGTGTGCGTGGTGTGTTTGTTACTAAAAATTTTCAAACATGCAGTGACGCTTGTCGCACCAGCAGTGATACATCACTCCGGCCCATATAAAGGCCTGAAAGGACTCTATTTCGCCTTTCTTCGCCTAAAAATCTTATTATGGCAGTATGTGACTGTTCGGTTCCAAAATTATCATCTTCACTTGCCGTTTCTGTAGTCATTTTTCCAGATACGCCCGATATTCTGTATAGCAAATCTCCTAATAATTGAACAGAACTAAACCGTATTCTCCAGTTATCATCAAATAAACCCTTTTCTAGTTCAGGAAGAAGAAGCATCACTGCTGATTCGGCGTACAAATTCACTATGCGTTGCCCAACTTTTAATGCCGTGTCCCGAACATACTCATTCTCATCAGCCAATGCTTTTAATATAGGATTAATTATTTGGCCAATATAAGGAGTAAAATCCTTAGGGAAAGGCCCTGGCATATATATAAACATCATTATGTATCCATCTTTCACATGTGGGGCAATACCTGTTCTTTCCGCAGTTGTGATAATATCTGGCATTAATTGATGCAATTTTTGCACTCCTAAACCGCCAACAAGTTCGGCAAGACCGTGAGCAGCTCCACTGCGGTCGACACTACTAGATTCTGATGTCAAGGTTTGCATCAACCATGGTGGTAGATCTTCAAATGAAGATTCACCTATTCCACGAACCATAGCTCCTAATGCTCTCGCAGAGATGGCTCTAACCTCCGGCACGGGGTCAAGAAGAGACATCTTTAGACCAGGAATTATATTAGGCAAATATGGCACTAAATCCTTTTGATCGGTAAGAGAGTACATATTACCTATGATTTGAGCTGCCATTTTTCGAATCTCGGTAGATCTATCCATGAATGCTCTCTCAACCGCAGGCATTATTAGGGCCAAAGATGATGCATCTATAAAATGTACAAATTTTGTTTGAAGTAAACTGTGCAAACTATTTGAAGTATTTTTTGATGGATCTTCTAAAGCTGTTAATAATATAGGAACGATAGCTTGAATTTCGGGATTTTTTATTACGGATCCTATTACTTTGAGTGCGTCAGCACCAGCTTCCTGCACTTCAGTATGCGAGTCACCAAGTACTTCGATTAGTTTTGGACCTATGTAGTTAAACATGATGACAATTGTTGGGGTGTTCAAATTGCCATAGCTCCGAGAAGTTCAACCGAAGCTGTCTTCGTTCGCCAGGAATGTTCATCTAAAGCATTAAGTAACGTTGGAAGAACAAGTTTATCTCCATGTACCGAAAGTTTACCTATAACTACTTTTGCCGTATCATCAGCTGCTTGCCTAACGTATTGAGAAGAGTCTCCAAAGCATTGCAATAGATGAGGTAGTACATGAACAATGTAAGGCTCAAATAAACGTCCAAGGGTTGTACGTAATACTTCAAAAGCAAAAAGGGCACCTTCCCGTGATTTATAATTTTTTTTCTCTTGTATAAATGTCGTTAATTTTGACATTATATACTTATCAGATTTTATTAGTTGTTGCAATAATTTCTTTATAATTTCAGGAGCTTTATCTTTCACCGATGAAACTAAATGTGGTAAGCAATTAGCCACGGCTTTTTTTACTTGCTGAGAAGGTGTTGACAGAGCTGAAATCAGTCTTCGCACTATAGGTTCAATTCGAATATCATCAGCTTCTAATTGTCAAGCTAATGTTCCCATTAAAATGACCACAGCTTGTCTAACGTTACCGAAGGTTTGTGATTTCGGTGCTTTGTCTAAAAAGTCTTCGAAAACTGGTAACAAGTTAACTATAGTTTCTTTTCCATGACAATCCACTATACAAAGAGCAGATGCAAGCATTTGGGATATTGATATGGCAATTCCTCTTCGAGGCCCGCATTGATCTATAGCAGGAAATTAGCTTATGTGTGACAAGTAAAAGTACATCATCTAATTCAGGTTGTACAAATTTAGCCGATTGGTACAAATTTGAAGCAAATATGTCATTTTTAGAACCCAGAATGTTAGTAAGGTGCGGTAGGACTATAGCTCCTTCTACAATTCGTTTATCCGCTTTGGGGGATATTAGGGTAATGGGGCAGATTCTGTGAGTTTTGGACTACTCTTCCGCCTATTCCCATAATTTCAAAATTCGATTGTTTTGATGGCAGTTTTAGCCTTTTTTGTGCCCTACACGCTATGAAGGATTTTTGTGATTCTTGGTCTAGTTTACAGAGTTCTCCTCGATGTTCGATGGAGATGACTTCTGTGGGTAGTAATACCCTATTTTGTATTTCGCTGTGTAGCGTTGGAGTGTTTTGTGCCTTTAAGCAATATGGTGTCTTTTGGCAATATTCGGGATTTGCTTTTGCAGTTAAACCCTTGGTTATTTTTTTATAAGCGCTGCTTTGGGGTGAGCTGGGAAATGTGCTGTAATGAAGCATTGAGTTGTGTCTTTTATGACAACAGAAACAATTATATTTGCTCTTACAATTTTTATAAGTATGCGCATGTGACAAGCAATTTGTACAAAGTCTTTTTGATCTAACAAAATTATTTCGTTCGTTAACTTTTTTGTATTTGAACTTCTCGCAAGATTGTAGTTTATGCCCTCTTGTACATAGTTCGCATGACGTATGTTTATTCTGTTCGGATGTGAACGATTGCGTTTTGTAAAAGCTTCTGTTTATATTGCTGTTGCTTCTAGCTTGGGGTCTGTTGAAGCTTCTATTGAGGTCATTTTCAGTTTGAAGGAGTGGATTGTATTCTTCTAAATTCTCCACTTGTTTCTTTTTGAGTTTTTGGCAAGCGTATTAGTGTCGTTACTTGTTTATCGACCAATATTCTTTCATTTTCATATCTGGATTTAGAGCTTCCCAAGCCAAATTGAAATTTTCGTCATTAAGTGCGAATTGTTTTAAGCTGTATTATTGCTAAGTGCAAAGATACAGTTTTGTTTATAATTAGCGTAAAGCTACTGAGTGGAGGCTGCCGTTAACTTGTATGTATATTAGGATATACCATAAAATATATACTTAATAAAGCGGTATGACATTTATACCGTATAATAAATTATTACAGTGTGGAAACTGATTTTCATTACACGTTTTAAATTTAAAAAAAAACCGTAACTTTAAACATACATATATAGATATAATAATTAAAAGGTGAAATGAACACGCTCACTTTGATTCCTTCAAGGGATTTTGGGGTTTATTTGAGCCTGTGTTTTTTCCGCCAATTATTTTCCTCCTCTTCTGAAAGGTTCCTGTTGGCTGGCTCCGTCTTCTGCGTGTTTGTTTTTTGTTTATTTGTATATATCTTTAATTTGTATGATCGCGCCCGCTTATATTTTAATTATTTTGCGTTTAGTTTCGCGACCGTTTCTTTGTTTTTATTTACAGTTTGTATTTAGGTTTTTATGTATACCTACATGTATGTATGTATATATGTACGTGAACTAATCGTATAATTAGGATTTATCTATTGTATATTGTGTGCACTTTGAGTTTTGTCATATACATACGTACACATGTACATATGTGTATATTATTTTGTTTGCCACTGCACGGCATTGCACTGTTTTTATACTCTCGTAACTTGTTGCTACAGAGTATAATAGTTTTGTTCACCTAACGGTTGTTTGTATCACCTACTTGTAAAACTAATCGAGTTAGATATAGAGTTATATATATATAAATGATCAGGGTGAAGAGACGAGTTGAAATCCGGGTGACTGTCTGTCTGTCCGTGCGTCCGTCCGTGCAAGCTGTAACTTGCGTACAAATTGAGATATCTTTATGAAACTTGGTACACATGTTGGGCGTAATCAGACCACTGCCGCGCCCACAAAACGCCAATAATCAAAAACAAATAAATTGCCATAACTAAGCTCCGCAATAAGATATAAGACTGTTATTTGGTACACAGGATCACATTAAAGAGGGGCATCTGTAGTTAAACATTTTTTTTTTTTTAAAGTGGACTTGGTCCCGCCCTTAATAGGTTTAATGTGCATATCTCCTACTCTGCTAAAGCTATAATAACAAAATTCACTGGAAGCAAATTTTTTTAGCACCTCTATCTACAGTGTGAAAATGGGTGAAATCGGTTGCGTTTAAAGTATGCCACCTTGTGACCAAAAATTATCTAAATTGAACCAAAACTGTTAAAGCCCCTAGATTCTGAATATGTGGACCCAAGTGCCTATAGTTGACTGTTTACCGAAAATATCCGTCAATCCACAGAGAAATCTAAAATGAGTATATCATTTGACTTTACGAGAGTATAAAATGTCTTTTCAATTTTTAGTTATTACTATTTAAATGTTTTTTTTGCTGGACAAAACCAATAGTGCCATCCGGAATGGCTCGAAGGACCATGAGTAATTTTTACACTCTCACAAATTATTGTAAACAAAAACGCCCTTGTAATTAGTATACATAAGCTTAATAAATTTTTATTTATTACCGCTTTGGTTTAAATTCATTATACAATAATTATAATGCGCTAGCAAACGCAAACAAATTAGATGTAGCGCGCAGGATTGTAGTTGTCACAAAAACGTATAAAGGCAGAAAGCAGGAACCGTGTTGACGACGTATACCTATAATCGAATGTGTGTTCTGTTGCAAAGACCATCCTTTATGTTTGCTGAGCGATGTGCAGGCGCGATGCTGAGGTGTGTTGTGCATGTTGTTCTCAGAGGTTGAGTGTGGTGGTGTCGTCGTGGGGGTGAAATTCCTTAAGTGCTCACAGGTCTGGTGTATTTCATTAGGGTGTGCTAATTTCACTCAGACACTTTTCCTCCAGCTAAATTAATATTTAACGTATTGCCGCTAACATAGTTTCTCGCATGGACGGGTCGTCATTAGATTTTATCCCATTGCGAATTTCAATAAATATTGAATTAGGCCGTGAATTTATGATAACCAATTCAGATATTGCTTGCCCAGCTTTCATGCGAACACTTCTGTTCGAGTCGTGTAAAGCCTTCAGAAATGTTGTTTGTAACTGCGGTAAAAATTGTTTCAACATGACTAAAACTTTTTCAATAAAATAGCTAACGTTTCCAGTACAGCTGCCTTGACACCTGCATTAAAGCGATCTCCTAGAATTCGAATTAACGGTCCAGTTATTTGAACAACAGATGGCTGTAAAAACTGAGCACTTGTGTAAAAAATGTAGCATGAATTCAAACCTACCATGACCAACATTAATTATGCTATAATTATTCTTACTCTCACTCTCTCTATGTAAAGACGTTATTATACATACTTAATGATTTTGAAGTATTGTTCCATTATAAAGATTGTACTTTTCTTCTTTATTATTCAGTGTTAAATAAACTACCGCAGAAACTGTTCATGAATCGGGGTGATTTTCTTAAAACATTATTAGATTTTTTACATGGTGCCGAATCCCGGGAACAGTTGTTCCTTAATAATATTATATAAAATATAAAAAATTACTTGCGTTAGCGATTAAGGAATTAAATAGCGGGCGGTTGTTAACCATAGCGAAAATGGATAATGTATTTAGAGCCACATGGCGAACCCAGC